GAATGGGAAAGCTTGTGAGACGTTCAAGTCGTGATACTCAGTTGGCATGCAGATTACATTGGGTTCGGAGCTAAGCAAAAGCCCAAGGTTACACAGGTGCTTTTGAGAGCCGAGGATAAACACTTAGGGATATCAAACTTCACCAGAAGAGGGAGAACTGGAGTCAGCCCTGGGTTCTGAGAAGGAACGTTTTAAAAAGCAGAAAGTGGTAACATAGAAGGTAAGAGAGACCAGGTTCAAGAAGGAGGAAGTGGTCAGTTGCAGTTGAAGAAAACAGAGAGACCTCAGAAGTATCCAGTGGGTTTGTCAACTACCAAATAGTGAATTTGGCTAGAGCAGTTTCAGTTGGGTGGGGTGAAAGAAGTTAGGTTTTAAATGTAGAGTTAAGTCAGAGAGAGGGAATGCATCAGATGTCTCTCCTTTGTCCCTCCAGATCCACCCTCTCTCCTTCACCACCCTTCTCTCTGTCTGAAATTCAAAGCAACATCAAAAGATTCCAGTGACTCCACTGACTTTGGCCAATAGTGACCCCTGGGAGATTGGAGGGAAGACAGAGAGTGAGGTGGGGATAAGCAGGCCCCCAATTCCTTTCTTACGGAGTCTGCTGCGTTCACTCAACCCCAGATCACAACTCTCTCCAGCTGGGTTCAGGTAACCACCTTCTCTGCCTCCTTGCATGCCTCAGAGTAGTAACAACTCTGCTCTGCTAGTTCTGGGGTTTCTGCCACCACTTGGATTTCTTTACATCCTGCCCACACCTTTATAAAGAGTTCTTTATTACACCTTCCTTGAATTATCCTAATCTGAACACGCCACCTGTGTCTTGCTGAAACCCTGAGTGATGTGGAAAGAAACCTTGGCTGGGAGGGTCAAGAGACAGAAATACACAAAGACTGCAGAGGTTTTATCACAGGGTTTATTTTTTAAGGGTTAGAGAAGCTTGGACATATTGACAGGCTTATAAAGTTTTCACAGCTAAGATCTCCTCCAAAGCTGTGATCTGAGAGGAAGGAAGAAATAGGCAGAGAGCTCTTTGTGAGCCTCTGGAGTTGATGACTTGCAAGTGGCCTCACCACTGTTGCTCAAGAAGTTCCAAAACCTGTGTTTCCAGTTTGACCAAGACAGTTCATTTGCGAGGTTTGCCCACGGCCGGGTTGGCAAGTGCTGGTGTGAGCAATGAGCTGATGGAAAAGTAGACAGAGTCTAACAAAGAAGAAAGAACAAAGGTCAGGACCTCAGCAAACCCAGGCACACCTTGCTGCACCAAGACAGCCACTCTAAACAGAGTCATGGGAGTTTTTTAAACTTTGCAAGGCTCTGCCTGACCTAGCCCTGTTCTTGCATCTTTTTGGGTCACCGATTCCACCACACTGCGCTGTCTTTCAGGCCCCCTTTCTCTTTCTCAAATAATAATAAACTCCGCTCTGCCCTTAAGCTTGAACTCTGTCCTTTCCACTGCCTGCAACCTGGCATTTCCCCAACTCTTCTCCAGGCAAGTCCTCCCCTCAGGTCTCCCATTAGCACCTGTCCCCCCAGACGACTGTCCAATCCAAACCAGCCCCTCTGTTACTCTCCCTCCAAGGGCCCTGGACTCCTCCTTCTTAGCAATCACACCTTAAAATTTCATGAGCTGGAGAATTTTACTTAGAAAGCCTCCTATAGTTTCTTATAAACTCTGTTTGCTTTTCATCAAATTCTCTAACCCATCTGGTGTTTACATTTATGTGTTGTGTGGGACAGGCCTCCTGTCGCAGTCTGCACTTCCCTGGCACTGTGCTGGACCTCCTACAGCTCTTCCACTCACGCGGCCACTTGGCAATTGTTTAATGAGTAATGACCTCGTGCTTTGCCCTTTACTGCACACAAAGGATGAAAAGAGAATATTCTTATCACAAAGAATAAGAAGAGAATAATGACAGAGTTTCTGGGCCTTAGGCCTGGAGGGGAACTAAGTATATCTGTGGAATCAGCTGCGTGAATGGAGAAATGAGAGTTTAACAAGGTAAACGCCACTTTAATGACATGTGATGGTTCTAAGCTTCTGGAATTCTGGCAAAGAATGTGTTTCCATTCATTTGACTCTCTCCGGGTTTGTAACACCGTGTTCTACTCACAGAAATCATTTAATAAATCCTTTAACAATTAACTTGAGTGTTAATCTTTTTTTAAAGCTTTCTTGTTTCTCCAAAGTTCCAAATAAATCCTCAGCTACTTACTAGATATCTCCACCAGGATGGCCTATAAGCACTTCCAACTCAAGATGGAAACAGAAATTTCTGTCCTAAACAGAAATCTGTCCTCCTAAACCTGGTCTTCCTTTATTCTCCACCTCTGTTGTCTGAGATAGAAAGCTCAGAACTATTCTCAATGCCACTCCCTCTCTAACCCCTTATCCAGCCAGTCACCAAGTTTTGTCTATTCTAGGTTATAAATACTTTATGACTCATTTTCTGGTTCCTACCATCTTGGGTCAAAAGTTCATTATCTCCTCCCTGAATTGGTAAAACCAAAAACAAAACATAAGCATTCCAACAGATCCCTCTGCCTTTTCTCTCTTTCCTCTACAATCTCGTAGTCACTACCACAGTCATTTCTGAAACACGAATCTGATACAATCACACCCTTGCTTTAAATCCTTTTGTGGTTCCCCAATGTTTTCAAGGCAAAGTTTGATTTTTTTTTTTAGCATGGCTCAATAAAATCGGTTCAATCTAGTTATAGACAAATCTATCCCAAACAAATAATCTAAAATATGGGAAAAGTTACATACACAGAGTTGTTCATTAGGTCCTATATTAGTTTTCTATTGCTGCTGTAACATATTACCACAAATTTAATGCCTTAAGACAACAGAGGGAAAAAATAGAAAGATCCCTGGACTTTGTAACTGCGGGTTTGTTTTTGTGTAGATGAATAATCTCTATCTGTTGAAGACATGGTCCAGTGGGTTTTCTGTTATTTGCAGCCAAATGCAACTTTAACTGATTAAAAGAAAAAAGAAAAATTAGCCCTGGCTGGCATAGCTCAGTGGATTGAGCGCGGGCTGCGAACCAAAGTGTCGCAGGTTCGATTCCCAGTCAGGCCACATACCTGGGTTGCAGGCCACGGCCCCCAGCAACCGCACATTGATGTTTCTCTCTCTCTCTCTTTCTCCCTCCCTTCCCTCTCTAAAAATAAATAAATAAAATCTAAAAAAAACACATTTAGAAAAAAAGAAAGAAAAATTGTCAGAATCCAAGTTACATTTCTCCAACTGCATGTAGTCTATTCCATGAATAGACTAAGGGCCTCTGTTCTTCTAAGCTCTGCTCATACTCTTTTCTTTAACGCCTTCTAATGCCTACCTGACTTGTTTCTTCAACAAGCCCCTACTCATTTTTCAGAGCCCAGCTCAAATATTATATATAACCCCACAAAGTCTTTCCCAGGCTTTCCCTCAAACAGATTCATCACCATTATTTCCATGGCATTTTGTCCATGTTTCTGTGACAGCACTTTTAACACTACATTGTATTTGTCTGTTTTCTTGCCTGCCTTCTTTAATGAACTGAGAGCAATATGTGAGCCACTGAATGGTTAAGCCATGTTTTGTATTTGTTCCCTCCATGGCTGACATAGCATCAGTATATAGTGAGTGCACAACAAATGTTTTGCAAATAAATCAACACAAGAATAAAAAACAATGTCTATATCTTTAAACCAACCACCATCCTGTCTTCCCTGGGGTAACCCCTGACTTCTCCCTACCTCTCTTTTTCTGTTTTTGATCCGGAAAAGAATCGTTGAGGAGCTGGAATTCAGGAAGTTTGTATTAGCACTTGGATCGTCTTAATCAAGCGGGTCATGGGGGAAAGTTTGAAAACACATTTTATTGAAAGTAGGAAAAAAGTTGAGAAGCAAAGGAAGTAATTTAGGACAGAAATTCAGAATTCAGCCTGAGAATCTCTCAGTCTCCCCTACCCTAAATCGTCCCCTGCCACGGCTAAAAGCAATGCAGTTTTAGCAGGCCTGGCCCCGGCTCAAAGTCATGGTGCTGAGGCCTGGCATCCCAGCTCTGCTCACCACCTAGTGGGATGCTGGGGCAGTAGGGTCCTTATGCCCACCTTCTTCTGACGCTGTTTCTTCCTCTGTAAAAGAGGGCTAGAAAGACCTGCCCGCCTAATTTGCAGAATGTTGTGAAGATCAAAAGGGACCAGCCTTATGCATAAGATTTGCTATGACACCCAAGGCAAATGTGAATCATGTAGCTGTGATATATGTAGGAGATACTCAATAAATGTTTGGTGAGTGAACAAATGAATGAATGAATCAATGAGCCCAGTTCACTGACAGTCTTATTTAAATCAAAGACTAAATGCAAGAACAACTTCATCTTTAGGGTTTGTATAAAACACCACCAACATATATGACATCATCATTATGAAGACAACTTTCTTCCCCACTGAGCTGCTGATCCTTCGATTTTCTTCACGTGTAACAAAATTTTTTATTCCGTTATATGAGATATGACTTGAAAGGCACCATGCCTGAGAAGGATAACATCGAGACTTAAACCACACTGAGGAATATATGACTATTTTCCTTTCTTAAAAGCATGTTTTAATAGGGACTAAGGGGAAAATTAGTTTAACTTTTAAACAGTCATGTAGTTTACCTCATTATTTGCATTGCTAAAGGGGAGAATAATCATGTGATCCAGAAGCCAGCCCCTTACCACTACAGCAGGCCATAGAAGAGTCCTTCTCTATTTCCTCCACATTCCTACCCATGAAATTTTGGCTCTCCTGCTTAATTTAACCTGATGGGTACCTAAAACATTGATTTGATTTTTTCTCTTTATACATTATTTTTATTGTATTTTTCCATTAACATTTGAATTTATTTTTTATTAAATAGTTTTTATTTTTATTCTATTACAGTTGTCCCAATTTCCCCCCCTTGCCATTTATCCCCCCTTATACCCTCTTCCACTTCCACCCCTCCCCCTCCCCTCTGCAATCACCACATTGTTGTCCGTGCCCATGAGTTTTCTTTTTTCTTGATTTGAAGTTAAAGACAACATAACACCTAAATTATGAATTAGATATATTTGTGTCTATATATTATACACCGTATTTGTGTTTATATCATATATTCATATATATATGCATGTATGTATGTATGTCTTGCAAGAATTATTAGAGTAGATCATAGGGAATTCTACTGATTTTTCCCCGCATACCAAATACCTACTAATCTGCCCTTGCTATGATCAAAATAGTCATCACGAACACCATAATGAAAAATATCCACATGAAGAATCGATCTATGACTTTTGCAACCTTCTTCCATTCACTCCCCTTGGAATTGGTGGCCTTGTGGTCTTTGAGGCACTTGGCAATGTATTCGATATTCCTCGTCAGCACTTTGAACCGTGCGCAGTAGCTGTCAGCATCGTGCGGGTTCTCTCCCCGGCACCCCAAATCATTCTTTACCAGTTTGTTCATCTCCTTCTTCCTGGGAGGGCCGTTGTTCCTGGCTATTTTCAGATTAGGCTCTGGAAGTTTGTCATAAACCTTCGTGAGGTGGTCCCGCTCCCTGTCACGGTGGGGGCTGAGGCAGCTCTCGCCCACATCATAGACGAACAACATCCTGGACATGTACTTCAGGAACACCACCCTGGCCCAGGGGGGCACTGGCCGGGCCTCAGCCCCGCAGAAGTGGATATTCATCACCATGATGGTCAAGGCAGTGGAGGCTGTGATCAAGGCCATCGTAGCTATGTAGTATTTTCCTGGAAAATACCAGCAACCAAGTCAGTTCAAACCTGTCCTCATGTTTGGCTCAAAAACAAACACTTTTTAAAAGGAAGCTATATATACTAATGGGTTCTAGTATATACTCTTGAATCAAACTCCATAGGGTCAAGTTCCAGCTCTGTCACTCATTAGCCTTGTGGCATGAAATAAGTTATATATATAATCCTGCTAAGCCTCAGATTCTTTCTTTGTAAAATGAGTATAACAATAGTATCTAACTAGTAGGAATACTGTGAGGCTCAACCGAGGTAATACATGTAAAGTCCTCAGCACTGTCCTTTGTCCCAACTTAAAAGGTTTATGAATGTTTGCTGAGATCATGATGTGAAAAACTTTCACTTTCAACAAACAAACAAATAAATAAATAATTAACAATCTTGGTCAGTTCTCAGAATCGTCTTCAGACCTCATTAATGTGAAAGTTCATTACTACTGGAAAAGAAGAGACACTATGTCACTATGTCTTAAACATGCATATGTCTTTAATGAATGATTTCACAAAGCAAATATTCCTGCAAAAAATTAATGGAGGAAGCAATAAAAATAAGGGTAAGAATACAAAACAAAAAACCAAGATGATGAACAAAAGCAAGCTATATGAAAAAGTAATGAAAGTAATGAAATCGATAAACTATTGCTAAGGCCACTGACAAAATAGAAGACGTCGTAGTGGGGAGAGAAAGAGAGGAGGACACAAAAGAGGAAATAACTAAATCAAAATTTAGAAAACAATATAATAAATCTTACAAATAGCTGTATGAGGAACCATTTGAAAAAACCTAGATGAAATATCTAGAAATATACCAGATGTCAAATTTAGTGTAAGAAGAACACTTGAATAGAAATGGAATTAATCAAATACCTCTACCCACCCTCCCATCAAATACTCCAGGACCAAAAGGTTTGATAGGTTAGTGAGTCTTACCAAACTTTTAAGAAACAGGTAACTCACTCAAGTTGTTCTAGAAAAAGAAAAAGAGGAAAAACCACCTGGATATTTTATGAAGTCAATTTAGCCTCGATTCCAAAAGTAACAAGAAAAGAAATAGTAAAGCTATGCCACTTATAGACATATTTAAGAAAGTCCCGTAACAATTTTTAGCTAACTAAACCCATTGGTGTCTTAAAATGATCATTCATCATGATAAAGGAGGGCTTAGTTGAACATCAGAAAACCTAATTCACTACATTAATGGAGTGAAAGAGAAAACTCACATGATTATCTTAACAGATGAAAACAATGGATTTAGTAATATTCATCATTCACTTATTATTTGTTAAAAGCTCTGAGTAAACTAAAACCAAATGGAACTTTTCTTAAGAGCCTAAGGGCCAGATGCCTGATCAAATGCTACACTTCATGAAGAAAACTTGAATCATTTCTATAAGACTGGAAGTACATTTATTTGGTGTAACAACCAAAATGTGGTTGTTAAATATATATTCTCAAGATCTGTGTGCACCTTTCCTAAAAAATATGCATTTTTATATTATCACAGAAATAGAAGAAGTAATACTTGCAAAATTCCTCAGATATGTCCTGAGACATCTCTCTTTAGAAACAGCCAGCTTGCTGGTGAATGTCACTGCTGAAGAATAGAGAGGGACCTACCAATTAATGTTGCTTCAAACAGGGTTATGATTGGATGTCATCACTGTCCATCATTTCTGCCTCTCAGAAGAGGTAATGAAAATGCCATTACACCTCTTCCTCTTTATTACTAGTAGAATGGGGGTAGTTCTGTTTCTTTAGAAGGAGTGTGTGTGTGTATATGTGTGTGTGTGTGCACGCATGCGAGCCTGTATCTTGCTTGGAGAGACATAGAAACAAACTTCCAAACAGAGAAACCAATGTAATAACATTTAAATATTGGATATTAAGGGATTCAGTGGAGGGTAAAGGGGAAATGCAATATCCCTTTGATATTGGTCTCTACGTCTCTTGTTCTGAAATGTTTCCTCATTGCCTACTTTAAGGAACTAAAAATGTCTAGCTTTTGATTTGGGTAAGTACCTTTAAAAAAATGTATTGTTCAAGTACAGTCATCTCCATTTCCTCCCCCATCACTCCCCACCACCTCATCCCTCCCTGCTTCCCACCCTTGATCCTACCCTGTTTGGCTTTGTCCATTTGTCCTTTATATATGTTCCTTGATGACCCTTTCCTTATTTTCCCCCATTATCCCTCTCCCCCCTCACCTCTGGCTACTGTTAGTTTGTTTTTTATTTCAACATCTCTGGTTATATTTTGCTTGCTTGTTTGTTTAATTCATTAGGTTCCACTTATAGGTGAGATTATATGGTATTTGTTTTTCACCTCCTGGCTTATTTCACTTAGCATAATGCTCTCCAGATCCAACCATGCTGTCTCGAAGGGTAGGAGCTCCTTCTTTCTTGTATTCCACTGTGTAAATGTACCATAATTTTTTGATCCACTCATTTACTGATGGTCACTTAGGTTGCTTCCAATTTTTGGCTATTGTAAATTGTGCTGTTAAGAACATTGGGATGCACAGGTTCTTTTGAATTGGTGTTTCAGGATTAAGGAAGACACAATTAAATGGAAGCATATATACTATGTTCATGGATTGATTTGGGTAAGCATCTTTTACAGCAACATGACATTGACATAGAGGTGTTGGAGCTCAGTAGTACTTCCTTGATGGCAGGGCATGGTTACTGAACTGTTAGGGGGCATCTCAGAACAAGGTAGATTAAAAAAAAAACAGCCCTAGCTAGTCTGGCTCAGTGAATTGAGCACTGGCCTGTGAACCAAAAGTCACCAATTCAATTCCCAGCTAGGGTACATGCCTGGGCTGCAGGCCAGGTCCCCAGTTGGGGGCATGTGAGAAGCAACCAATCTATGTTTCTCTCACACATTAATGTTTCTCTTTCTCTCTTCCTTCCCCTCTCTCTAAAAATAAACATATAATGATAAACAAAATCAGCAAGCCTTTAAGCAGACTCATCAAGAAAAAAGAGAGAAGACCCAAATAAAAGCAATCAGAAATGAAAGAGGAGAAATTACAACTGACACCACAGAAATAAAAAGGATTGTAAGAAATTACTACAAAGAACTATACGCCAAGAAATTTGAAAACCTAGGTGAAATGGACAAATTCCCAGAAAAATATAATCTTCCAAAACTCAGTGAAGAAGAAACAGAAAGCCTGTACAAACCAATAACAGCTGATGAAATCTAAGCAGTATCAAAAAACTCCCAGCACACAAAAGCCCTGGACCAGATGGTTTCACAGGAGAATTTTACAAAACATTTATGGAAAAGCTAACCCCTATCCTTCACAGACTTTTCCAACAAATCCAAGAAGAGGGAAGACTCCCAAACTCTTTTTATAAAGCCATCATCATCCTAACCTTAAAACCAGATAAAGACACAACAAAGAAAGAAAACTACAGGCCAATATCGCTGATGAACATAAGATGCTAAAATCCTCAACAAAAAAATATTGGCAAACTGCATCCAGCAATACATTAAAAAGATCATACACCATGATCAAGTGTGATTCATCCCAGGGATGCAAGGATGGTACAATATTCATGAATCGATAAAAGTAATACATCACATAAACAAAAGGAAAGACAAAAACCACATAATCATTTCAATAGATGCAGAAAAAGCATTTGATAAGGTACAGTACCTATTTCTGATAAAAACACTCGGCAAAGTGGGAATAGGGGAGCATTCCTCAACATGATCAAAGGCCATACATGAGAGACCTACAACCAACATCATACTCAATGGGCAAAGCTAAAAGCTTTCCCACTAAGATCAGGAACAAGACAAGGATGTCTGCTTCCACCACTTCTATTCAACATAGTAGTGGAAGTCCTAACCACAGCAATCAGACAAGAAGAAGAAATAAAAGGCATCCAAATTGGAAAGGAGGAAGTAAAACTGTCATTGTCTGCAGATGACATGAGAGTGTATACATAGAAAACTGTTGGGAACACCCTGCCTGGTATCAGAAGCTGTAACCCCCACCAATTCTAAGGCTGAGGGAATGGCCTTGGACCATAAGCCACCAAGGAGACAAAAGCTTATCTCCCTGGCAGGAGTGCTGTTTCTGCTCCTTTTACTTCACCCTACCTGGCCCCCAATGCTTGGTCGGTTAGCCAATGATGGGTAAGATTCCCCAAAGGGGGAATGGCCTAAGACAGGCATGATCACGTGGGAGGCCCCCAAGGAAGGACTTTGGGGCTACAGCAAAAGGGGGTGATGGACCCTCACCCCTCGGCTTTGACATAGCCTGAATCCTCATTGTCTGTGAGGAAATCTCCTAATCTCTTGGTTGCCTTACTTCCCTTGCTCCACCTAAGCCTGAAACAATGACAGAGGGTGGTGCAGCCCTGTGCTGGAAAGGGCGGGTTCCCCGTGTGATCAGGCCTAAGAAAGAATATGTCAAGTCCTGTGAAACCTGCTTTGTTTAGAATGCTCTCACTTGAATGATAAGGGTCCAAGGAAGAAGTAAGTTTGTTCCTTAAAGTTTTTTACAGCTCTTTAGCTATCCGATGCTGACTCAAAATAGGCCCTCAGAGTTCCTTGTTATTTGATTCTTACTTCCTGGCAATGAGTAATGAGCTTTACCTGAATTCCTGTGTAAACAAACCCAATAAAAGCCATTGAGGAAAAGGCTCTTGGCCCTTCTCCTGCGAGAGCTTGGCCACCTTTCCTCCCCAAGCAGATCATGTCTTGGTAGACTTATTCTCATCCATGGTGGATGGGGGGCTCTGAGGACAAAGCTCCCCCACAGAAAACCCTATAGACTCCACCAAAAAACGATTCAATCTAATAAGTGAACTTGGTCAAACAGCAGGATACAAAGTCAATATTCAGAAATCAAAGGCATTTTTGTACACCAACAATGACATATCAGAAACAGAAATCTGGAAAAAAAAATCCCATTTGCTCTAGCAACAAGAAAAAACAAAATATCTTGGAATAAACCTAAGTAAG